TCTGCATAATGAAGTTGAATTTTGTAGGTATAAGGATTTATTCGATCAAAACGAATTTTTCTATCGACATAGCAAAAGTGACAATCGTTCCGAGTGTTTCAATATCTACATTTTTCTTAAATTATCAAAACACATTATTTTATTGTTCATGTTGGATTTGATTTAAGAATAATGAATAAGATGACCCTTGAGATGACCACTGATCCAGCCAAGTCAATCCCTGCGTTTTACACTGGACAAAGTATATTTTTGACAGGTGCAACGGGATTTCTGGGTAAAGTGCTTATCGAAAAGGTATTGCGATCTTGTCCTGATGTTCGTGAAATATTTCTGTTGATGCGGCCGAGAAAAGGATTATCTATTAATGAAAGGCTTGAAAAAATATTAAAGTTGCCGGTAAGCTGAATATAATAATTATTTTCTAATTTTATTTCTTTTTGAGATTTTTGTGGTCTTTAAAATGTTTTGCTTAATTTAATGTGTCTTATTTAAATGTAAAATTTTTTTTTTAAATATTACCACAACATTATTATTAAGAGAAGTTATTTTTGACATTAAAATTTTAAAAGAGTATACAATATAATAAATCAATAAAACTTTTAAAAGAGTATAGTATAATAAATTAATAAAATATTGTAAAAAATGCATATTTAAAGTAAAATACTGCTGCGGATGACTTTAAACCGTTTTAATCTTCTATTGTAAATGTATCAAAAATATCTTAGAAATTTTTGTAATTATTACAACAAAAACGTTTTCATAAATTATAACGGTCTTTTCCATTTTACAACTAACGATAAAAATAAGCCTCAAATAAGATAAATCTTCAGCCAAGATGAATCTTGGTGCTTAATAACATTTTGCGCGTGAGAAAAAAATATTTTTTCTTATCATTTATTAGTTATTGCGATATCATTACAAGCCTCAAAGTCAAATTGAAAAGATACATTCGTAACGACCGTTACGAATGTAAATTTAAACTCTGGCTGATATTTCTCGCAAAATATTTTTCACAATGTTTTAAGAGATTAAATACATTTTGTATCTAGAGATACAAAAAATAGTTTATATTTATGATTATTTATAATATTTTATTTCTCTAAACGTATTAGAAATATCAAAGCAGGGTTTGTACTAATATTTTATTAATAACATGTAAAATTGTTTACAAATATTGAAAAATAAGAGAAATATTGCTGTTGACATTAAGCGTGTTAGCTGCTGTAACGGTTTGCAGTATATACCTACTGTATATCTACACAGTTGAGCGGAAAAATAAAAACGCAATAAATTTTAAAAATATATAGATAAATTATAGATGAATCTAGTCTTTATTGTAGCCGATTTTAAAAATTTGTAATTGTAGCAAAATGATGCTTATCAAAATATGTATAAGAGTACAAATTATTGTCTAAAAATTGTTCAGTTTTTTTACAAAAATTAGCATTACAGACGCGCTATTTGACATTTTTTAGCCTTTACTGTAATTTACTATTAAATCGCATCAACCTCAAGACATACAACTGTCAAAAAATGCAATGACAGTCGTTCAACAAAGTAAGCGCAGCGAAAGAATCAATTAGCATTGTGGAAAAGCGACAACAATAAATTTCGTAAGATTCGAATATCGATTTAATATGCCTTTTTGAGAAATGGAAACTGAAAAACTATCAATGTAAAAACAAAACTAAGATGTAAAAAAAACCTCTATGAAGTCTGCGTATTTTCATGCTGAATAAATAAAAAAACGAATTCAATCCATTCATTCGTTTCTGAAATATAATTTTGGATATCAATCTAAAATTTCGAGCAAAACGCACTTTTGAGAAAAGCGCGCGTTCAAAATTTTAATTTTTACTTTTAGTTTTTAAGCAATATACATTTTTTTTACTTCTGTACAATTATCTTTTCCAGGGCTATATATAAGTAGATTTTCTGGGGTAAGGGACAAAGAACATCTTGAACACCATAGAAACACGTACAGCTGAACAGAGCTCTGTGGAGTTTGTTCAGCAGTTCACTCGGCGAAACGCCTATCTCATTCAAACGCTATAACTTTTTTTATTTTTGCGCATTCCGAGTTGCAACTTTAGCAAAATATTTTAAAGTATTTTATTATTAAAAAATGCAAAAATTAATAAATTGATTTTTTTATGCATTTGAGTGTATACAAGATGTTTATTAGTATTAATATTATTAAATTGCTTGTCAATTTATCAATAAATCATGATATTAGGATTCAAATTTTATTGTAAAACTATCTTTTTAAAATAGACACATAATCAGCGTACAAAGTTGGTACAAACTGAAAGATGTATATAAACTCATGCAAAAATATAAGCACTAAGATCCACCTCGAATAGGTTTATTAGTTGTGTATTCACATGTCAGTCAATTTCACTTATTATTGTTTTTCCTATTTTAGTTATTTGAAAAATTGCATGAAGAGCGACCTTCAAATTTCAAGAAATTAGTTCCAATTTCTGGCGATGCCAGTGAGAAGGAATTGGGTATATCGGCTACGGACAGACAAATGCTGATTGAAAGAACGACTATAATAATACACATAGCGGGAAATGTAAAATTTAATAACACTTTAAAATATGCCATACTTACCAATACTAGATCAACGAGAAACATCTGTATTTTAGCGCAAAGTATGAAGAATTTAATAGTAAGTCGATAAGGGAGATTATACATTCATATAGTTTATTATATCACACGGTATTACACGATATATCTCACGTTGTACATACTTAAATGTAGTAATATTTCACAAAAAGAACTCATATTTCAATCACAAATTTTATTCTAAATAATAATTATTATGTATTATATCTTTTAAGCTTATAACAGTAAAAAGTAAGTTTATCTAGACGAATGTAAATACATAATTAAAATATTATAATTAATATCTGCAATATAATATAAAATATAAATTATTACCTATAGTTATTATAAAAACTTTTTTATTCTAAAGAAGGTTTTTAAAAAGCTTAATTTTTTAATAAATTACTTTTACACTATGTGTGTTGAAGGCATTAGTGCATGTTA